ACAGCAATAAAACTCCATCCCCCTTTTTCGCTCCGACTTCTCATACTGGGTTAAGAGGAAAACACGGTACCCTCTGCGACCGAGCAACCCCATGACCAGGTACTCGGTCAACGTAACGCCCTATAGAACGATCAAATATTCAGCAGCACTCCTGCGTCGAATGCTACGCTACGGATGCCGTCTTTATTTATTTGTTTGCGACAAGTCGCTTCTGCGAGCGGATAGGACCACGCATAGAACACGTGTAGAAACGCGCGACATAACGACAAGGACAAGCTGGGGAAGAGGGAGATATTTTTTTTTCTTTCCGGGAACATCGCCAGCAACCTTTTCACCCAGATACGATTCTGACCCAAAAAGTCACGCATTAAATTAATAAATTACAAGAGGTCTCTTCGATCTTTCTCTCTCTCTCACCCCCACACACACACACACACACACACACACACACACACACACACACACATACACTTGTTCTGTTGGCTTTTGGCCGAATAGCACGACTTCTGTGATCTCAGTGTTTGTCTCGTGCCGATCTTACGCAGCTTCATACTTAGACGTCTTTGGTTCCTTAGAATTATTCCAAAATCTTTTATCTCATTAACGATTATACTCTGCATATTTTATCAATTTTGAAGAAATTGTTTTCATCAGAAAAATACATATGTAGTCTCGCGTAAAACATCTGGGTTTATTCCAAATTAAGAATAAAAACTTGTAATTACATAGATGAAATATTAGCGCAACAAGGAAAATTAGAATATTTGGACAATTTTCAGTGGCGTGGCGGAAATACCCGAAACTTGAAATAGCTGCTTCACTGGCGGCAATTTTTAACTTTTTACATTTTTAACGAGTTTGAACAAAACGCTCATTTTTAACAAACTAAATGGGAAGGAAACAATAATTATACTTAAACAGAACAGCGGTAGAGAATAACATTTCGTTTACTGCGTGCGTTAAATATTCGTTGCATATCCCGTAGATGAGGTCGCGGTTTCACGTATACACAGGGCTGAAAACGCCGAATGAAAATTAGATATCTCGAGTCCGGCGCGGCGGCGGTGTGGACTGTGGGCAAAACTGTGCTGGGACCGCACTAAAATATCACAATGGCGCGGCAGGTGCATTTACCGGCTCTCGCCGGTGCTTTGACGACAGTCGCCAGATAGCTCTTTCATCCGGTAATTAGCCAGAGAGCTCGAGGAATTATCACCTGGCGCGATCGTGGCTATACACACGCGGGGTGGTCCGTCTACCTGCCGTTCCGAGTGCGCGCGAAATGAAGCAGCCTCGGAGGGGGAAGGGGGTGTTCTCTCCGTGGTAGTCGGCGACCTCAGTCCTTAATTAATTAACACCACGGCGAATAATAATTATCGAAATGAAAGATGATATCGGCGGGCTTATTTATTGCTATGCGATGATATCGAGGTAACATATAATCCGACGCGCGTAGCTCCAAGCCACGATGCGGCTGCCACAAGTTGCCGTTACGTTGTACACCGCTATGCCTCTCGTCGACCGATAGCGATCCAAACGTTACTCCACTAATTGATACTCCACTAATTGATGATAGTAAATTAATTTGTCCAAACGATCTCATATATTTGGCTCTTAACCCTAACAACATGAATTTTAACTCTCCCGTCTCAATAAGGATTTTCGAGAAACAGGGCAAATCTTTTTATTGTTTTAAATTATATAACAAGTTTCTGATACTTGTTGAAGTTTTAACAACGAGTTTTTATTATCGTAAGAGTCGGGTTGTTTTTTACTTATTATATATTTGACAGATTTAAATTTATCTATTCTTTAAATTTTTTGAAATTCACTTTAACATTCAAGACGGTAAAAATTGAGCCAGTCTTGCAAAAGAGTTGCCAATGTTTAATCTTTAAGAGAGTCAGATTTTACTCTACTGGGACTTACTCTAAAAATTTTAGAAAGTACCAAAATTCACTATTAAAACAACAATACCTTTTTAAAGACTCTAGTAATAGAGTTAATTATGATTTATTCAGCCTTTTGTAGAAATACGTGTGACATTTACATTTGAAACCGATCTCTCGAGACAATCATTCGTGTTACCAAAAATATCTAAATCGCTGATTTTTATCTACTTTGATTCGCTTCTTCGTTCTTCGCTACATTTGCCATCTTTCCTCATTCTCTATCATTTCACAACGCAGACACAGACGAGCGCTTTATTGTTTTATTCAAGTTGCTCTCGCCAGTGGCGAGCTTGCAGCGGTAGCTCGAACAGCGTCCAAGACAAATTACATTCTGCGAAGATTCAATCTAGTTACGCGAATTCAAAGTCGGGGAAGATCGCGCTCGTACGTCCGAAAAGAGAAATAAAAGGCGAGAGCGATTCGACGCGCGCGCGGCTAGATAGATAAAAAAGGAAGAAAACGAAAGCGTTGGCGGTGAAAAGCGATTTCGGATGAAGGGTAGGTCGATTCCGGACTCGTTAGGCCGGTACAAACCACAAGCGCCGGGCATGTTCTACCAAATACACGTGGACGAAATGGGATGTTAGCCTCCCTCTTTGCACGTGAATTTCCTCGATATTAAAGCCCGAGCAATGGGACACCGATTGTACGACGATTGGCGGCGTGCGGCGATCTGCTTGGTGCCTGGACTTCCGATAATTATGTGCCAATTAAATTTAACGACTGTCCATTATTCCAGTCTGCGCACCGTCCCCCCCCCCTCCCGCCTCTCCCCCGCCTTTACTTCAACCCCCTTGATGCCGATTCCATCATCCTTTCCTCGACGATATGTAGCCACCGCGGCCGAATCGGCAACAACTATCATTCCAGATCGCAATCCAATTACTTTTTAATATTATCGGGGTGCGCCTGAAATCGAGCTGCCTTTGCGGAACGTCGCGCGGCCACATTGTAAAACTACGAGGAACTCCCGCTGGCAAATAAATGCTTCCGGACTAGCTGCCTCCCTTTCTCACATACATACGTCGTTGTTAGAAGCTATTTGCTCACCACGGCTCGCCATCGCTATCAAATGGAATAAAGTGCCGGCGACCAGTTCCGAGGGAAATGGGAAGTTCGGAACGTAATTTGCTACGATCGATCGCATAACTCGAAGAAAATGGGAAGAAAGTATAATAAATATTTGTGTCTTATCGCGCACTTTCTCGTGCAGATTTTAATTTTCTATTTTTAAATCAACTGTATAGAAACATCGATCATATTTCATTTTTTCACTTAATTGTAATTTATAGTACAATAGCCTTTCATGTTATAAATCACACATATCGCGTAAAGAGGACGTGAATATCTATATGTATTCACGTTAAAGCATCCAATTTCATGCTGTCTACTCGTGTAATTGTTTTAAAAAGTATGTCTCTCTTTCTTGTCCCCCTTCCCGGTTCTTCGTCCTCGTTAAAAATTCAAGCGTTTTAACCGCAGATTAACCCGCCATCGGAGCAATGTTTGCTACCGTTTTCCAAGCTCATTAAAAGGAAAGCTCGAACGTATAGCGAGCTCTCAACTTAATTATTATTATAGATATAAAACATATTTAGGGGACAATATTTACACGCATATAATTATCATTTACATGCAATGATGTTTACATATCAGCGTGCCGATTTGTTTATTTTATGGGTGCTCTCGTATCACATTAAATTGCCATTTAACGGATGGATAAACTAGCGAAGATGACTTGTTATTGAAGTATGCATTGAGGCGTAAAATAAAACTTTGCAACACAGCTCAAGGTCTTCAATATTCAGAGACACGTTCGATAGAGATAAAGAAAATGTGAAACGTGCATGCCAGAAGAAAAATACGATAGCACGTATACTATTCTCTAATCAAATGTCGGTCATTTCTAATCTGCGCGCTGCTAAAAATAGTTTTTTTTAGAAAAATTTCTTCCGCATGTATGGCATAAAAATCTTGTTGATCCGTATATATAAAAAATATTTTTTTTTTCTTTACTATTATTAGGTGTATACAAAAAAATTTTTGATGTGCATATTTATAAATCAAGATTTAAATTCTATTTCAATGAAATAAAATAATATTTGATTTCCGATTCTCGCTAATTTGGGAGGAAAGACAGTTATTTGAAATTCTCTTGCGTGCTTTTAAAATAATATTGTGAGCAATATTGCGATACTGAAATGCATTATACTGTATCATGCAGATTTACATTTCTCGTAAATAATAACAACATGCTTATTAAAAATATGCAAATTTAATAGAAATCTTACCCTATTTACCTATATTTATCGACAAATTCGATGGCCGCCAGTCTGCAGAGAAGATGGCGACAAGCAAGTTTGATATCGTAAATTCTAACATCAAGTTTAGGGATTTGTGTTGTGGAAATGGGTGGGGTGCTCGTCGTCAGGACAGCGAATACAAGGAATAGTCGGTAGGGGGTGAGCACCAACACAGAATGACCACTAAACACCTAACAACCAACAATAGCAGTCAACATTGAACATCGATAAACCAACGAAACTTAACCAACCACAAGTCACATTGTAACGGAATTCAGCGAACAGTGAAGACATAATCCACCAATACATATATGTGTGTGTGTGTATGTGTGTATGTTATGTGAACGAACGAATATATTATGTATATATAGAATACAAAACGTATATACAATGGTAAAATGGCGCGTAAATATACGTACGTGCACACGAGGAATGCCTCTGCCACAGCGCGGCGTTAAATTTTGTCGAAATAATTTTGCAGTACGAGATTTGCGGGATACCGCGTGTACTAGAATATGCTCCACTGAATTCAATCTGATTGCCAATTAGACAGAGCCACTCTCGGGTCCACGTTCGCCCAATGGCTCTGGGCAGATCTTGAGCCTCGCAGAGCTTTCCCATCAAAACATCAACGAGAAATACTAATTGTGTGACATGATATATAACGTAAAAAGTGAAAGACACGTGTGTGTTAAAACTTAATGACACATCTTCAGAGACACCGAGTAGGGGTATGGTGACGTACCACATCGAGTACATTGAGAACGTGGTTCGCGCGGACGACACTAGTAGTAGTAGTAGTAGTAGTAGTAGTTGTTGTTGTTACATTGTGTGTTGTGGTCGTGGCAAGAAGAAGAAGAGGTGGAGGAGGTGTGCGGCGCCCCCGGCCAGCCGGTCGCCCGTCACACCCTGAAACAGAATAATATTGTCACTCCCCTGCGAAGAAATACCGTCCCTACCGACTATCACCTCTGTAAGCGCTGTCTAAATAACATAATTTATTTATTAATAATATATCGCAATATTTCACGATGAAAACGCAGAAACATATTTGTAGACAATTCATACAATATTGTCACAATATTTCACACACATTCTTAAAAATATTTATATAATTTTAATTTATTGTTGAAACTATCGAAGAATTATTACATGTGCGTCGTCACACAATAAATATTTAATTTCTATGCGTATCTTGCTGTGTCAAAGTTAAAAACGGAAATAAACTCTTTAAAAAAATTTGTTTCAAAACAAAAGAAAAATACAATCTTCTACATCTACACACAGGGATCGATATGTCAATTTCGAAAAATCAATACCTAGATCTAACTTCAACGTTCAGAATGATCGAAATACGTCAATGTTAGCGTCTAGTTCGAAATTGAATTCTACTGTTGACGCACGCCTTCACGTATGAGAGTCTGACCTGGTAGTGTCGATTTCGTTTGTTACGACTCGGTTTTATCGGTGGCTCCGATACTTCGTTCACACAGAGTAGCGGCGCGAAGTCTCGCTATGTGGAGGATCGAAGCCGAAAAAGGGACGAAGCTTTATATCGAGGAAAATGCCTTCCCCCCTTGCGTTGCATCGTTTACGTCTAACACGAGTGAGTGAATGAGCACGCGCGCGCACGCCCGCGTCCGTACACGTGGAGGAAAGGCAGAAAGTTGGTGGAATGAGAGGAAGCGAGAAAGAGTGATGACGGTCAGTAGAGGGGAGGCTTAGGTACGGGAGCAGCGACCGGGATTTTAACGTCGAGCACACTCGTTTCGAGTCGATAGGTCCACTTCGGCTGGCTTGAGAAGCAGTCGACATGGTCCAACAACTTCCTCTCCAGCTCCTCGCCCCGCGCCCTCCATCACGCGCCTTTTCGTCCATCTAGCCGTCATCTTCGTAGCAGGAAACAGGGCGTGAGCGAATGGAAGTTTTCATACGTAGGGCGCTCACGCAATTGATAAAAACGACCGATCCCCGACTCTTGTTAGGAAACAACTACCGAGTTTCTTCAGCTCACTTGCTGAGGAGTGGTCGCTTCATGTCATGAAGTGATATTAACGATTTTTACGCGACAGTCTGGACGCGAAGCATCGTCAGGGAAGCTGTCGTATTTTCGCAACGTAAATTGTAATAACGTGGCGTTCAATCGAGTGTAAAATACGAGGAACGTCGTCGGTGAATAAATTGTGTATGACGTAAGAGACTCGTTCGTGAGATCCGTAGCACGTGCCTCGTCGCAGTAAGAAGAGAGGAGAAAGAAAGAGGATATGTTTATTTAACTCTAAAAGAGGTTTCTCTCCGCGTAGATTTTAGCACGCTGATATGCAACGAGCTATCACAATTATTTAAGCAAAGACCTCCAAGTATTTAAGCAAAGATTGTAAAAATCCTTGTTCATTGCGACATGAAGAGATTAAATATTGTCGCAACGTGCCTCAGCATAAATTTAAAGATAATTGATTGTTCATACGCGTTAAAACATATTCATTTTCAACGAAGAAAAAACAAAGTAAAAATATAATCGCAACACTGGATGTGTTATACTTGCGAGAAGTATACAGCAATTATTTTGTATCCTGCAGTCTTTCAGTCGGTTAAATTATAGAAATAAGTTTGATATAATCAAAAGATTTCCCTCTCTGCTTCAAGCACGTACGCGATATTATTAAAAATCATTGTTTCCGTTTGCCTTCTAGAATACGTACGGGAATAAATAGGGTGCCTGCTGGAGTGGAGGGTTGTATTATTTTCGAGGGACGCGAAAAATGGGCTCGCGCACACGTACACAGCGAGGCGAATGTATGGATATGAATAAGCGGAAATATTACGTAGCGCGCGGGAGAGGGTAATATCCGAAAGAGGGAGACGAGGACGACGAGAGAAAAGCGGGTTAGTGAGTGAGAGACAACGTTAGCAAGTTTACTTTGTATGCCACGCAGTGAGAAAGTTCCACCCAGCTGTTAGTCGCGTCTTCCTTAGTTTTCCTCTCGATGAAAACTCACTCGCGAGTTTAAACTTCCATCTTCCATGCACGCGCAAGCGAGTGAAAAGCAAATAACCAAATGTGGCTCTTTATCTCCTTGTAAGGACAAAGTAGGGCTCTAATCACCGTGTAATTATTTATGTAATAAGAAATAAATGTAAATTTAAACGAAATAAGAATCAACGCAGAGAGGTTTACAGAATACTTATTAATTGTTATAAATTTATTATATAATATATAAATTACGTAAGTAGCAATAACACAAATGTTTCGACCGTGATTTATGTCCTCCTCAGTGCTTTAAATAAAATGGCAGACGTGGAAATTATTTGAATATTAAAATGTACGAGCGATTTTTGAAACGCTTTCTAAAAAAGACATTACGGGCAGAATACAATTTATATGAAAAATAGGACACCGACGAATAGACCAACAGAAGGGACAAAGCTTGACTGAAAGCACGAATATCCGAGAGCTTCCTGAACTGATTTCTATTTTGTCACTCGGCCAATCGCTCGGTATCGCTAGAAATAAATAACACCGAATACATCATCCCCCGGATTGCCGTCATACTAGCCGCTTGTTCTCGTCGCAAATAGAACCCTCGGGAATTACGCCGCGGAGATCGGCGGCCTGGGATGGGTAGACGCGGTAATACTGGTTATCATCGCGCTGATTGCGCCTATATCTCCCCTCCTCTGCCCTGCACTCGCTACACATTCATCGAGCTATCCTTCCATTGGTACCTGCACCTGACCCAGTACATTTCCACCCGAGCTATTCATTACGGGTCTACAACGATCGTTCCTTTCACGATACATCGATGTACGAAAATTGGCGAGCGGCACGGTAGGGGTTATGCATTCATACTTGCAGACACGTCATGAATCCTCCTACCCGTCGCGGAAGGGTTCTAAAACCATGCCGTGCCGAGATTACGACGCTTTGGCAGTGAATGTACAAGTGATACACGCTCGATGACCCGGCAATTTTCAAGGCGGAGGAAGTTTTACAACAAAGATCCGGCGCGTAATTTAACCGAATGGGCCGTTTTACAAATTAACTCTTCCGAACTTCTGGCTGGTCGTTACACTTTCCGTTATAAGCGGTGCAAATTATTTTAATTGCACGCGCGAGGTCTATTTTCTTCTCTCTGAGAAAGAGAGAGAGAAAAGGTACGGTCGGAGTCGTGGAAATAACTTGCGGAAGACCGACGAGATCGTCAAGACCGAAAATTATTTAAGGAGGCCGACCGTAAAACACAATGATGATTAATTCTTGTTGCGTAATATTCAACTGGGCAAGAAATCAGTCACGTATCACGCCCAATATACGCTTAAGAGACCAAGTGAAATGTCCTACGCGGTTATTTACACGACCGTAAACAACCGCCGCCGTTGCACATCTACAGGCACGCGCGTGTACTCGCGGCAAAGGTAACGAATGGCAGAAGGCAAAGCAGCTACACCTTCGAAACGCGTTCCCCGGCCTCTCTCTACGGTACCGTGCACACGTACGTGTTTACGTTACGAACGCGCTATGCCAGGCGGAACTAACGGTAACGAACGGTTGCGAACGTAAGAGACCGGTTCCTGTAGCAAACGACATTTCTACCGAGCGTTGCACGGCGGTGCGTGCGGTAAAAGGAAGCAAACTATTTGCAAGATTCCGAAGGAGAGAGTGAGTAGAGCTTGTAGCTTGAAGGCAAATAGGTAGATAGATAGATAGATAGATGAGCTGATTTATACTTGGAATATGTTCTCTGCACGACGTAATCTCACAGCACGAAAGTATATCAAAAGGGAATAAAATATTGTAATTAAAATTGTAATGCAATTATGATGTACTTATGATGCGAATAACAATTAACTTTTAACTGGGATAAGAGAGAAGTGTACCTTACAAAGGCTCAGAGAACATCATTTTCTGTAATATAACTTTTTCAAATGTTTCATGCATATTCAGTATTAAGTTCTTTGACAAACTTTGTCAAACAAATTGATTTTCCGATATTGAAATTTACATTTTATTTCAAAATTGTCTAACGAATACTGTAATACATTGAAAAAAAAATTTAAGAAATTTGGGATATAATTATATATAATATATTTCGCTGAAATAAATTAATCTTTATTTAAATACAGCGAAATAAAATTTTGTTCCTAGCAAATAGATCACGTGTTTTACATTTTTTTATATATGTATAATCATTTTTTTACAATGAAATAAATTTCACAGAAATATGTATTCCGTCATCATAATCAAATTTATTTGCAATCAAAATAAATATCGAAGAAAATATCACATGAAATATTTGCTTGCAATAAAAAGTCTTCGACTTTATTTCTTACAAGGGGCCTATTACAACTGTTTAGAACTAATTCAATTCTTCTTGAAATAAGTATGTTGTTCCACACAAAATCTAAAAAATAATATATTTTTTTAGAACGGTCCAATTTAAGATTTTTTAAAGGATGAAAATAATACGGACGGAGTATTTTGAAAATATTAAATGTTATAAAAATCTAAATACGCAGTTACTATATATATATATATACATATATATATAAAGTATATAAAAACTTTACCTAAAATATTTCTGTATATACCATATATTTAGCTATTTCATTGATAATTAATTAAAATCATTAATCAAATATAAGCATCAGCTTTAGAGGTTTGTTTCACATCTTAAAGCGATGCTGGAGAGATGGCCAAACCTGATCGATGTCGATAAAACAAATTTTTAATTCTAATTAAAATATTATATACATCAGAATATATTTTTTTTTTTATATAAAAAATATTTACATACATTAAGTAAAACATTACGTACATTAAATAAGCCATTAAGTAAAACGTTACGTACATTTCTTGTTTTGCTGTATCCTATAGCGATATGAGGTTATATGCACTCAAATCGT